TGCAGGCAAAATTGTTTCTAAGACGCTACTGCAGAAAAAGCATCAAAAAGAAAAGGTTAGACTTCATTGTCCTTCTTTGGCTAGTTTATGTTATTCATATGCGCCCTGTAAATGGTTTACTTGTAAATTTGTAATTTTGAAGATTTAGATGACGCAGGAAATTGAAATTCACCGTTCTCTCTCACATCCTCACGTTGTTAGATTAGATGGGTTTTTTGAAGATTCAGATAATGTTTACGTGCTGTTGGAGTTATGTTCGAGAAGGGTAAAGATTTAAAGTTGTTGCACTTTGGTTGACTGAGTTTTTACCTTGAAAAGTTGCTGTTTTGATGAGTCATCTCGAAATAAATTCATTAGCATAAGACTGGAATCCTCCCTTATCACTTTGCTCGTTTAGTCTTTAATGGAGCTTCACAAGAGACGTAAAGCAGTAACGGAACCAGAAGCGCGGTATTTTACAAATCAGGTTTGCTACGGCCCTGGATGTCTCAATATTTTTTAAGTCAGCTTATCTGTTTAAGGAATGATCACATGGTCACTATAGAATTTTAACTTCGTTGTGACGGGAGAACGATTTTGTAAATAATATTTTCAGTTTTTCAGTAGAACTAACTCTTCCAGGTTGTATCCGCCTGTGATTACTTACATAGTCGAAAAATCATTCACAGGGACCTTAAGCTGGGTAACCTGTTTTTAAATGATGATATGCAGGTTAAAGTCGGAGACTTTGGCCTTGCAACTACCGTTGATTATGATGGAGAAAGGTATAGTGAAACATGTCTTGCCTATCTGAGTACGACTGAATCAGTTATCGTCATGAAAGTTAAATTGAAGGAAAAAGACGTTATGTGGAACTCCTAACTATATTGCTCCTGAAATGCTGGACAAAAAAGGACACTCCTATGAAGTTGATATTTGGGCGCTGGGATGTATTCTCTACACGCTTTTGGTTGGAAAGCCACCTTTTGAAACAATGTCTTTAAAGGTTTTTCTTTTAAAACCACATAGTTCGTCTAATTTACTGTTAGTTCTGTTCGCATCTAATCTGTTTTTAAGTCATTTACTAATTGGTTTCAGGAGACGTATCAAAAAATTAAGAGTAATGATTACGTTATCCCCAAAACTGTAAGTGGTGATGCCGAACATTTGATTAGGTGTCTTCTTGCTGCTGTTCCTTCACGAAGGCCCAAAATTAAGGAGGTGTGCTTAATATTAGTTAATTCAGTTTTTGCTTATGAGTCTGATTTTCTTTTATAGGTCGCGGGATTTGATTTTTTCACACGTGGGTTCATGCCCTTTAGACTACCGACATCCTGTTTGACCATGGCTCCGAAATTTGGCTTCGTTTCAACGTCACATTCAAGGCATGATGGACGCCGTGTGCTTGAAGAAATCAAGCCACAACACGCTTTGAGCCCTAGACAGAAGACGAAGCAGGTGGGCGAAAGTTGTGCAGTAACCAAAATAAAATCTTTTCTTTTTTCTTAATTTTTGAACTGGTGTTCGTATAGGATGTGATTTCTGCTCTGGGAAGACCGTTGGCTTCAGTGCCAGAAGCCCAAGTCATGAGTATAGGGGCCAGGGGCGACAGAATTGAAAAAGGTTGATTCACTTGTGTTTGCAGCTGTTTTCAGCTATATCTTTGAGCATAGATTTTTTCAGCAGCTGTTACTGATATGAACGGAGTTCCTTCGGATTATTATCTGTCTGAGCTTTATCACCAGCTCAACGATCTTGTCAGTAGCAGGCCAGCAGAAAGAACATTTATACAGGAAGGTTGGACTTTTTTTGTATATTAATATTGAGTCTGTTTTTGAAGTATTCTTATAAAGTTAGTTTTGCAGATGTGGCTGAAGATCCAGCTGCGGTTCCCGTTTTCTGGATATCCAAGTGGGTTGATTATTCTGATAAATATGGCTTGGGTTATCAACTGTGCGACAACTCAATTGGTGTTATATTCAATGATCATACAAAACTAGTTCTAGATGCCGCTGGAGAGTAAGTTTTTATCCTGCTTTTCTCCAAAAATTTTGTAAGTTTTTCAAGCTTAGCAATTTATGCTAATGCGATTCTTGGTCAAATTGTTCAATTTAATAATCATTTTCATTACTTTAGGCAGGTCCAGTACACAGAAAAAGATAATTCAGAAAAATATTTTGTTTTGTCATCGTACCCAGAGGAGCTTCGTAAAAAAATAAGTCTCCTGAAATATTTCCGTAACTATATGCAGGAAAATTTGCGAAAGACAGGTGCAAATATGGCACCCAAAGAAGGCGACGAGCTCGCTCGTTTACCTTATTTGAGGACGTGGTTTCGTACTCGGTCTGCTATCGTGCTTCATTTAAGTAATGGAACACTGCAAATTAACTTTTTTCGGGTTTGTTTTTTTTTTTGTTAACCCAAAATTATTCCTCTTCGCTTAATGTTTGCATCCGGTTCGTTTTAGGATCATTCGAAGCTAATAGTATGTCCGCTGATGGGTGCAGCAAGTTATATCGATCAGAACCGTAAATTTAGGACTTTCAAGTTCGAATTGATGGCGTCATTTGGATGCTCAAAAGACGTTTTGTGAGTTTGAGATTTTGTTTTCGCACTTCCTTCAAATGCCTTTTTATTACATTTTTTAGCTCCCGGTTGAAATACGCGAAAAGTATGGTAGAGCGTCTTCTCTCGGAATCTCTTCAGTCGCGGCCAGGGTCATTGTCTACAGTAGTGAGTCATTTTGAAAATCATTCTCTTCCTAGTAATTGTATCAAGTAGAGAATTGTTCTTTCCTTTTTACTTGTTGGTAATTGTACGTTTTATAATTGAAGTTCCCATGTATCTAATTGGTGTTTTTTCTTTTCACTTCTAGATTTTTCTATACTTATTGTTATCATAATATAATCAAAAGAGTTACATGATATATCAATTTTATTTCGTAACTATAGTGTGTTTTGTTTGTAGCGGTGCCTTTGAACTCTATTTCCTAATATTACTAGTAATTGTCTATATGGTGGGTCTATTATTTATGAGGCATCTGTCTTTCGGTGCTTTTCGGGTCGTACTGTCTTCATAATTTCTTTCTAAGTTACTTTAGAGAATTGGATAATCATTTTTTTAGTTCCTTTTATGTTGTATCGTGACGTTGCTGTTGATGCCTGACTTCATGGTTTATTGAGTGTATACAAATAGCTGCAGAAGTGTCAACGCCGTCACAAATCTACACTCGTACCAGACGTGTATATACAAGCATTCCTTATATGTTTGCGTTTAAATACAGATTTGTTGAAGTACGGATGTTTTTATAAAATTGTCTAATATGATGTGGATTTGTGGTATCTTCCTCATTGGCCAAACTAGCATGTTTACCAGCATTAGACGTGACAGATCATTTCTCCCTTGTGCCTCTATTAATTGAAAGAACATTGTTCCACCAGGGTAGTTTGAAGATGGTGATGGCCTGCTGTGCTGAAAAATACGGGAACTGTTGGTATTTCTATGCTGTTAGGAGGAGTAGGGTTGAAAGCAATAAGATTTTTGAGTGATGTTCGGGTCTTATAGAAAGTTTGGTGAATGTAGTAATGGCAGTAGTTGCGGTGGTTTTGGATGTTTTTAGGAAAATGCAGAAAAGTAGACTAATGTTGGTGTAAGAAAATGATGTGATGTGGCCCAAGTTTTTTTCTGAAAGGATTGAGAGTAGATGGTGGTCACGACAGAAGTACTGCTGGCTTCAGAGCAGCGTGGAATTTCAGTGGCTGTGCAGTTTTAAAAAATATACAGTTGGCAGCTACAAAAGGTTGACTAGAGGTTCCGGCCATTGATGAATGAAGAAATGTGTTGTGGATTTGGTGGAGCTACCAAAGGAAAGGAAATTTAATGGAGTAAAGTAATTGGCATCGGTCCGATGCTATCGCTAAAATGTCTATTCTTGATACTGGTAATGAAGTCAGTGGCCGCTGTGCATTTGAGGTCTTGATTTTTTGTATTTGTAAATTTTGAAATGGAGTAATAAAGTAGTGTTCAACTGATTTTTCTTTGTTCTGTCATTATCTAAGTTTTGAAACATGGAAGGAGTCACATCACGGGAATCCACGGTTGGTGTCGGCCTGGTGCATGTGCGTGATCGGCTAATGTTTTACCTTCCAGCTCATTCAAACGTCTCATCCAAAATTGTTTAAGGGGGAATTTTTATTTTCAATCACTGGGAGTCAAAAACTATTTGAAATCATTTGTCTCGTATAGCTTCAAATTATGTGCTCTAATGCGTTAGAAATTATTCAGTTAGAGGGTGGGATACTTTGAATTAGAGGAGTCAAAAATTAGTTTGTAAATCCGGTTAAATCAATCCTTGAGCCACTCTAGATTTTAACGATCATTCTTTCGACCAAATAGGCTAGCTCAGTTCTGGGATCTTCGGAATCCTGAATGAAAATTCAGAGTAAAACTTCAGCAACTCTTCAAGTAATTAAGAATGGAGTCGGGTACAGTTCCGAATACCCAAACAAATTTCAACCTCGTTGCAATTTCGGCATCCAGCTAAAAAGACTGATGTCGCCCGTGGAGCTGCAATTTCTTCTACGTTTCTCGTTTTGCCCATCTCGATGCTCTCACACAATGAGGCTCACACGCAAAATGCATTGGGAGCTTACCAGCTGGGCATCAAAAGAAACTCTTTTTCCGCGAAACCACCAGATGTCTCAATTATTACTATTACCTACATCAATTAACGCAAATTTTGAAATGTTTCGAAAGATCAGTTTTATAAAACATCTGGGTTGCGAATTTTATTTGCAAAACGAGGAATTGCTAAAAAACGGAATGCTTTAACGTCACAGTAAAATCTTTACCTCAATGGCTGCCACAGTTATAGAGCATCCTACAAAACGTAGTTACCCAAGTAAAATCTTAGGAACTCCAACGCTTGAAAGCTACTGTAATGTTAGCGAGTTAAGGAGACAGCACGTACTGAGTGAAACAAACAATATCACACAGGTTTATCAAAAAACTCAGAGTGTAGCAAGATTTCTTAAACTATCGGCCACCTACTTTTCTTTTTCAACGCGCACCTTCGTCAAATAACTACTCGCTGTCCATGCTCAATGTATCTCCCAGTATAATAATCTGCACTTTTGAAACGCTTTAATGCCAATTTATCAATTAACATGAAAAAATCTCTCATGGTTCTTCCATATCTTTTATTCTTCGTTTGTTAGGTTTTCAGCTTTCCTACTCTGCCAACTGCCCAAATAATCACTAAAGCAGAGCAAAAAAAATTTTCACAAATCTCTATCTTACGGAAGGATTTCTGCTTCAAGCCGTTTCAGAACAAGTTTTTGCTGTATTTTTTTCCTTACTTTGTATGAATGGACCGTCTGCACCTAAAAAATCTCCCGATAATTTTATTTCTTTCTACTCTTACTGTAACTTTTTTAGTTACTTCAAGTGAAGGGATCAATTTAAATGATACTTTTAATGTCTTACAGAAATAGCTCAAGCAACTAAATTACAAAATATTGTCGCGGTAGCATCATTTCCCTTTTTCTGCTTTTTTTCCATCTATTTTTTTCAAGTTCTTGTGCTGTGAGTATCATAAAAAATTCTTTCTATTTTCGTTAAGATTACCCGACATCTTTTTCAATTGGATGTTTTTCTGTAAAACCCTCCAGATATCTTTTGTAACCTTTGATTCTTATACTCCTTACTGTAAGCGGTGAGAGCCGCCGAAGCTTTTAGGACTAATCAAGCTTTGGTGGGATTATATGGTTCTAAAAACTGACCAGAGAGAACCAACGGTATTGGCTGACGAATGACTATAGTGACTGACCACTTAGTACTCCGAGTAACATTTTTTGGTACCATAACTAGAATTTAAAATAACTGTGGATAGTGTGCAACAACTCATGACTTTACAACATTCGGCTTCCTAACTACTTCTCAGAAAATACGGCCTGAAGAATGTTTGAGCACCTATGCTTCGCAGTATACTTTCAATTGGGAAAAATTACGAAGCTTTTGCTTGCTCTAGCCTAACATAACTGTAACGTTAAAATAAATAAAAATTCTAAGAAAGACCGTAAAATGAGCTTGAAACACACAAAGGATCTGAATAGATAAGTAAAAAATAATTTTAGACGCAGAAACAGAAGAGCTAATGGCTGCAGGTCAACATGGCTTATAAAAATGGAACAACTGTAGATGAAGGGGAATTGAAACCATGCCAAAAGACATCGCTGTGAGTGATCTGACAAAAGAAGGCTAAACCCACGATCTCAACAGTAAAAAGCACACACAAACACTGCTAATGGGCCGTCGTTTTCTGGACCTATATACCCAAACTTCCATGAGTGACTCACTGCCTATCCTCCAGAAGCTTACTCCTAAAGAGAAATCGGTGGTTGATCTCCATGTAGTTTGATGATGCCCGTTCCGCGTGCTGTCGTGACACTTCCGATGTTCAACTGTAAAACAGTTCAAAAGTAACTGCTGACCAAATGGTTAGATTTTTATCACAGACAAATAATTAAGTAATAGTCAGTGAAATTAGACGTTGTAATCGGACACAACAAGTAAAACAACGAAAGGCCACTCTTCTTGTCACCACTAATATCGACACCGACACTTCAGAAACATTTCGGTGTCGCAAGCCAACAACTGTCTTTCCCAAGCCGTAGTTACTTACTTTTTAAACTACGCAAATGTTATACATATTACAAAACCACCAAACAGAATAGGTCTTTCACTCCTACTTCTTACACCTGACGCAAGACAGTATAGATGAATGCCATAACGAAGTGAACTTGATCTCGGACAGTGCTGAGACAGGTGAGGTTCGAATCTTGACACGAATACTGCAATATAATGAAAATAATGTTAATTAAGTTATTAGGAAAACATAAACCAAATCATAAATTGGAGACATAACAAACCAACAATTCTGAAGGTCAAACTCATATCTGCTGAACCGAATATGGATGCAGGATCTTCTGCTTGTCCTCCAAAGGTTTATTCCCGTGGTAGTTCAGAGATCATGCTTTTTAGAATTTAAATTTCTTTTAGAAAACGGTCACTAAAAGGCCCACTTTTTTTTCCTACTGGAAGTCCCGTCTTCGTCTTTTCCAAAAGAACAAAAACCAGCTCGTTTAGAACGAAAGCAATTTCAAAAACTGAAGTACTCATTCTCGACTTGAAAATGGCAAACACAACAAAGAATTGCACATATAAAAGAGTGACAAAATGATGACCCGCTCAAAATTTAAAAACCACGACTTCATTCAGCTTTTTGGACCATGCTTCACTGCTGTCATTTCTGGATATGTTCCCCGTAATGCATCTGACAAACGTTGTCTTCACGCATAAGTAAGAAGTCTATTTCTTGAAATGTTGGCAACCTTAGAGCCGCAAGAACTAGAAGAAAAAAAGAATAAAACTCAGCAGGCCTCAAACCACCTTTTATCAACAGGCAACAATCGTTTAGTTTTCAAAGACGAAAAAAGTGAATGAGCATAAGGAAAAAAAAGGAGGAATAATGTAAGACGGAAGATACCTAGCCAGTTAGATATACAGTACACGCTTTTTATGGTAAAATGACCGAGTATTGCAAAATCATGGAAGAGTGCCAAATATATTAACAGCAGAATTCGGTCATATATAATCGCTATTCCGCTGTTGGCTTTAGTTTAAAGCGGTTCCAATGATGGCGGCGAAAATACAAATTCAAATTGCTGCTGAGTAACTTGCGTTTGACAAGTGCATTTGAAAGCAGTTTATTTCTTTTGCATCCTTGGGTATTCCAAACAGTCAATTTATGTTACTACTTAGCTCTTAAAGTACTTTTTTCACAACTTCTGGTTCTCGGTTTTCTGTTTCTGTTATTTGTAATTTGCGAACGATGTTGCTAGATTTCCATTACAGAGCGGTGAATGCAGAGCACAGCATTACACTGTAGAGAGTAAGGTACCGCAGAACTGCACAGTCGTCGTCTTTGAAATTTTATGGGTCCACCAGTCCACTGCTTGGAAGCGGTTTAATTCAAATATATTCATTTTATTTCACGTTGGTGATTGCTTTTCATTCTTTATTATTTAGATGGACGGTGCCGTACACTTCCACATGACACCAGTTTTCACTCCTATTCTTCTACAAAGTCACAATATAAAATTTTTGGTATGCTTGCAGTCAGTGGTTTTGAGTCACCAGCTGTACCGTACCAAACTTCTTTATCTGAAAGAAGGAAAGGTTAAATCAAAAAAACCAGAAAAGTTGAGCCGTATGTTGGGTTACTTCCCGATGTCCTAGTCAAATATTTTCAAAATTCAAATTGCACTCTCCACTCGTGAGATAGGGACTTTATATGTTTTAGATCAGTTTTTACGCATCGAGTTCAAAAGTGCTATTTTTGTAATCTAAAGCTTTTACTTGGATCAAATAATAACTATATTTTTCTATGGCAGTTTGTTGATTGTCTGTTGTTCAAGAGGCTTGATATTTTTTATTGATAGGTTTCTGTACCATTGCTTTGATTGAAATGAAGAGGATAGCAATTCTGCAACCGTAATTTTCGTTAGATTACTTTCCTGCTATGAGAAAAGCGACAAGTTGGAACAGGCTTTGAATGAATAATTTCAAAATCATTGTTGAAGTTTCCTACTTGTTCAGCGAAAGAGACTTTTTTCTTGTTTAAGAAAATTCACTAGTTATTGTGGCAACTTGAGACGTTCGTTTTACAGATATAAGTTTTAAATCTTTTATTTTTGTTATCCTAAAGGCATAATGGACTTTTGGTATAATTTATAGGCAATTGTATCTGAAGTCAGCGGGTTCAATTTAGCTGCAGCCTTGCGTTTTTATCCTGGGTTTCCTAGTTTTTTAATGTCATGACTGAATGTAAACATTTTATTTTTAGGTAATTTTTTATTTTTGCTACAGACACGGTTTTGTTTTTGAAGACTACTTCCTAAAAATTTCTGCAAAAATTTCTCATTTTTTTTAAATAGAATTTTTATTTTTTCTACTGACAGTTTTTTCTTTCTATGGCTATTCATTTTGGTTTACTTTGCGCGCTGTTTATTGGTTCTTGACCTCGCTGTTTTGCATTGTTTGTGTTAATTTGTTATCAGTACAAAATTTTGAAAATGGTGTGTGCTTATTTTTGTATTAGTCCATATTTTCAGAGAATGGGCGATAAGCCGCAAGTAAAAGAAGTACCAGAAACGGTGTGCAATTCGAAAAAAGAACAGGTTCTTACTAGAGGGAAGTTTCTGGGTAAAGGAGGGTTTGCAAGATGTTACGAACTTGTTGATTCTAAAACAAACGCGGTTTATGCAGGGAAAATTGTTTCTAAATTACTTCTTCAAAAAAAGCATCAGAAGGAGAAGGTAGAGTTTTTGTCTATACTAACTGGTTAAAAAATTATTTTTTAACCAGCTCAGACATTGTTCAGTTTAGGTTATTGTTTTTTAGATGACGCAGGAGATTGAGATTCATCGATCGCTCTCGCATCCTCATGTTGTGCGCCTGGAGGATTTTTTTGAGGATTCAGACAATGTTTATATTCTTTTGGAATTGTGTTCTAGAAGGGTAGCAATTCACAGTTAACCGTTGCTGTTTAATGGACAATAAATCTTTTGTCATTTTATAATATAAATGAAAGCGTCTTAAAATTTTCAAATGTTGGAAATTAATTGACAGTTTTTGTTTAGTCGTTAATGGAACTGCACAAAAGACGTAAAGCAGTCACGGAGCCAGAAGCACGGTATTTTACTAGCCAGGTATTGTAACATCTAATGATTTTTTTCATTGTATTTTTTTGAAAGCTATATTTAAGTACACATTTCAGCTAAGTTTTGCCTCAGACTGGTTTACTTGTAATTGTAACTCTTCAAGGATTGTCGTGGTGATGGTAATGTTTTTATATCTGTTTTTAGGTGGTGTCGGCGTGTGATTACTTGCACAGTCGGCATATTATTCACAGAGATCTTAAACTCGGTAATCTGTTTCTCAATGATGAGATGCGAGTCAAAGTGGGGGATTTTGGTCTTGCAACTGTCGTGGATTATGATGGAGAAAGGTATGGTATAGCACGATTCCTTAACTAATTCTGAACCAGATTTATTGTGAAAGTACATTTAAGAAAGAAAACATTGTGCGGTACTCCAAATTACATTGCTCCTGAAATGTTGGACAAGAAAGGTCATTCGTATGAAGTAGATATTTGGGCACTGGGTTGTATCCTTTACACCCTCTTGGTTGGAAAACCGCCTTTTGAAACAATGTCTTTAAAGGTTTGTCGCGTGAACTCAATGATTTATGCTCGCAATTCTCTTTCATCGATGTCGTTTGTTGTATCTCATCTGTTGCTGTTTTTCTTAGGAGACTTATCAAAAAATAAAAAACAATGATTATGTAATTCCCAAAAGAGTTGGTTCGGATGCAGCTCATTTGATCAGTTGTCTTCTTGCTGCCGTTCCTTCGCGAAGGCCTACTATTCAGGAGGTAGGTCTGATGGCCGAAAAAGCAGTTGTTGCTACTTGCACTTCCCAAACTAGTTTCTTTTGCAGGTTGCGAAATTCAGTTTTTTTTTAAGAGGATACATGCCCACTCGGCTACCAACTTCATGTCTGACTATGGCTCCAAAATTTACCCCTGCGCAGTTGTCACAGGGTCAAAACGATGAACGACGGGTGCTCGGGGAGATAAAGTCACATCAACTTTTAGGCTCTGAACAAAGGGTTAACCAGGTGTGTTGCTAAAATCTGCTCGCGTTTCTTTTCCGTATTACTTTTTCACTTGTTTGAGGATATTTTTGTTATTTGTTTACAGGATTTGATGTCAAGCCCTGCTAGATCGCTAGTCTCGGTACCAGAAGCTCAAGTTGTAAGCATAGGAGTCAGGGGGGACAAAAATGAAAAAGGTTTGTTTAAATTTAAAGTTAAACAGTAGGGAAGACGGTTATCAGTGGACATTTTACTTAGCAACATACTTCATTATATGCGGTTATGCTGATTGAAGTTAGTTATTCAGAAGCGAATATTCTTCGAATCTGGTTGTGTTATGCATACATAATTCAAACGAAGAGTGTTACCGCAGTGAGTGAGGTCGTTGTGTGAAATGATCCTATAAATAAAAAGCCATTGTGACTTTGAATGTTTCACATAAATACGTTTTCATTTAAATATAACACGAATAAACCTGTTTGGAACGTTTACAAAAAGTCTGAGCCAAGGGTCTACTGCATTTCTTCTAAGAAAAGATATGAAATAAGGGAAGGGGGAGGTTGTATGAGAGAAGAATGGAAGAGGATAATGATAAGTGATTAATTTAACATTTGATAAAATTTTCCAGTATGTGCGGAGGAGCTAATTTTTCACCTCATTTTTATTATTATCCTTTGTATGCTTACTTCGCGTTTGCTTTTTATTCCTTTCATTTCATAGTAAAATGTACAAATTTCCTACTGTTTGAAATATTAAGAGGCCTTTAGTGGAAAAAAGAAGTCAAAAATTTTAAGAAAAACTTCTTTTTGGCATTTTTTAAACTTTATTCTTGTTGTTATTTCATTTCTTGTTTTACAATTGGGAGTATAACAAACAAATTTGTCTTTTTCCGTGATAATCAAAATTTTTTGTGCTTTGAAGTGGGAAGCGCTCTTCGCGGGTCGTTTGTTCAGAACTAACAGTGTTTTGCCTCACTTAAAGGGTAATTGAGGTTTTTTATTAGGAGAGGCAGATTTGAACGCTGTTCCTTCTGATTTTTATTTATCCGACCTTTACCGACAACTGGATGATCTCATAAGTAAAAAGCCAGCAGAAAGAGCTCTGATACAAGAAGGTTTGTCCTTTTTTTGGTCTTGTGGTTCTTATTGCTTTTTTGGTGCCATAATTTTAATTCCAATATTGAAGTACAGATGAAGCAGAAGACCCGGCATCTGTCCCTGTTTTCTGGGTCTCGAAATGGGTGGATTATTCGGATAAGTATGGATTGGGTTACCAACTTTGTGATAATTCGATTGGGGTTGTTTTCAACGACAATTCTAAATTAGTTTTGAACGCTGCTGGAGAGTCGGTTTTTAACTTGCTTTTAAACGCTCCTTTTTTGACTGCTTGATCATTACGCATTTCTTTTAGACAAGTTCAGTATACGGAAAAAGATAATTCGGAGAGATATTTTGTTTTATCATCGTATCCAGAGGAGCTTCATAAGAAAATAACCCTCTTGAAATATTTTCGTAACTATATGCAAGAGCACTTGCAAAAAACAGGTGCAAATATGGCTCCAAAAGAAGGCGATGAGCTCGCTCGTTTGCCTTGTTTGAGGACGTGGTTCCGCACCCGGTCTGCTATTGTTCTCCACATGAGCAGCGGCATCCTCCAAATCAACTTTTTCCAGGTTGTGATCTTTTTATACTGGAAACGCCTTTGCCTTTTCCAGTATCTTAATTTCTGCTATTTCAGGACCATACAAAGCTCATATTATGTCCTCTAATGAGTGCGGTAACTTATATTGATCAAAAGCGAAAATTCAGAACTTTCAAATTTGAGCTGATGGCAAAATTCGGTTGTTCGAAGGATGTTTTGTAAGTTTATGCTTTTTTTTTTGCGTATCTGTTGGATACTTCGTTTAGATTATTTTTTTAGTTCCCGATTGAAATATGCAAGGTTAATGGTGGAACGCCTTCTTTCGCAACCCATCCAGTCGAGAACTTGATCATTTCCAAAAAAGCGTCGTTTTGATAGCGGTGTTGCCACTACTAGTTTATGCTATAGTGTACTGCATTTTCTTAACTGTACAATATGAGCCTAAAAGTCTCATAGATTACTGTCTTTCAGCTTTCTTCAGTTGGCAATATGGAACTTATACGCTAAAAAACCCTTAATAAATTATTAATTTGTTTGAAAAAAACTAACTATTGTTTTGAAGTGTCTCGACCCCAGCTATTTTCTGCAGTGTCTGTTAAACATTCGGGTAGTTCTTTCTGCCTTCATTTCTTTTCTTTTTCCGCAATGCATCATTTTTTGGTCACCTTTGTATATGTGATGTCTGTTACCTTTCATTCTCTTCATTGCGTGGTATGCTTTTTGAAGCCATTTTTGGTTTTTAGGATGGTTATTACTCCTCCAGAGAACGGAATAGTGTGTAAACAGCTTTATTTTGCTTGGTTTTGGTAATATACGGATATCTTGTACAGTGCAGTTGCGTAAATTTGATAATTTTATTTTTGTATTTATTTTTCTTCTTTGTCATTGATAATTCTGTACTTTTTTGGGAATGTATGGCTTTAGTGGTTTGGTTTCCAGAGGCTTGGAAACTTATTACTAATGTCTATCTAATTTTAACCAGGTGTGTATGTTGAAATAGTTTGTTAAAATCAGTTACTTTTTCAAAGGGATTTACAGTCAAGAAAGTAAGGGGCTTTGGCTAAAGTTATTGGTCCTCTTTTCCCTTGGTGCTTGTAACGTCTGACTCTTGAGGAATATTTTTTGATTTTGTTTCACGTTGCCTTAACATCATTATACGATTTGTTACTGAGCAATTTAGGCGGTCCGGGTCAGTTGCAGGTTTTTAGGTTATTTTCGAAGGGCTTTTTAGCATCTTGAGAAGAGTGAGGAGGGAGGGGGTTGCGCGGGAGAGAGAGGAAGACCATCTGTGTGTATTTTGGAGACCTGGTCCGATGCAGCATATGAAAAGGTTGCAGTTTCTTTGGCAACTTTTGCGTATTGCATGGTATGTAGGCTTGGTTAGACGCGTTATGGGTCAATCAAGCTCGTCTTGCAGCGGTTTATTTCTCGACATTTATTGTATTTCATATGAGGTTACTCTTTTAACCGTCTCTGTTTTATAGCTGGTGGGGTTGGTTTTCTGCTGCACTGGTCATCTAGACTGTTTTTCCCCTCTTCATAATAGGAACTATTTTTTGCTGTTTGTTTCCATCTTAGTCTGAAAGTTTAGCTGCAAGAGCCGAGTTAACGCGGAAGTAGAACTAATAAAGCGTATTTTGCTACAGCCGGGGAAACTTCAGAAGCATTTGGGTTGGTTTTCCATCCTCGGCACGACAGTCAACACTTTCTGAAGAATCGCAAACAAAGCTTCTGACACCTGTGAGATGCTGATATTGGTTCCTTGGGAAGTTTAAAGCAGAATGAGTTACGAGACCAAAACACTTGATTTAAAAAAGTAGGGGAGAAATGAAATCAATTTGTACAAAGCAACTGCATGAGAGTACAGAGTTAAAGAGCTCAACAAAGAACACGATTCACAACAAGTTCAAGTTCTTGTGACTTTATAAGAGGTGAATGACGAGCGCTTGGAGGAGAAAGGCCACGATATCAGTCAAGTTCTGTGCAAAAGTTTCGGGCATGCTTCTAAAATCTGCACTTGATCATTTAGAGTTCCATGTCTTTTGGGTTTATCCTTTTCGCTGTTGGCGGGACCCGATGTTCAGCCCTACTGGGTCAGTAGCATGGGTGTCAGAAGCTTGAATTATAAAAATTGAAGTTAGGTTGAGTGGAGGCGGACAAGGTTTTTTTGAATTTGAGATATCAGAGGCGCTCAGAATGTTGGTGGAAATATGCCGAAATGGTGTGCAGCCACGGGAATTGTCAGTTAGTATTCCGAAACGGGTGGCCTAAAAACAAATTGCGTACAATTAAATGCTTGAAATAAGCAGAGTGGTTGTAATTGGTGAGACCCCTTTTCATGAGCGTCTATCACTGTTTTCGTACGAAGAAATATTTTCAAATGGTGCCGTTTCGAACAGTTCAGTTTGGACTGCTTGAGAGGATGGTCGGACGCAGTTTGCCTGGATGATTCTTTATGAGAGGTTTGGGTTATGAAAAAAGCAATAGATGTAGAGGGGAAGGTAAACGAACTTCTTATCGGCCTTAAAACTGTTAGTTTTTGTAAAGAGGTTAGTCTCATTATTATATCAATATTAATGTTAATACCACTCGTATTTTTGTTAAGTTCCTTCCCGTAGGTTTCCTGACCGACGTTTTCTTTAGTTACCAGTTTTTACCCTGCTTTCAACTTTCGAAGTATTTGTTAGTCGGAATAATTAGAGGCGTTTGTTTCTCATTTTGTGAATGATTTGTTCTTTCCTTTTTTTTTACGGTGGACATCTGTTCGCTTACGTTCGGAAGAACTTTAAAACCACCGTGATTTCCTACCTGTGTGCAAAGAAATCAAGGATTTGCAAAGATTTGCTCTAAACGAGTTGTGAACAAGCACTTGATTGCTACTGTTCGCTAAAAGTACTTTCGACGACCCTCATAGATAGTATGCTCCTATGGTCAGGCATAAGTAACTTTGCCTCTCGTCCTTTACTTCACAAGTTGACAGGTATTTCCTTTGATTGTTATTTATCGTATCCTTATCGGTAACGAAACGACTTTATCATTTAAAAATCCGTAGAAAGGCCTGTGGTACCAAGGAGGTTCTTTCTTAATGTAGTGTGGTCAGTGTGTTTGTGCGATGCAAACCAACTGTCGCTGATGAACCACGGGTTGGGCGGGGGAGTCGGCATTCAGTCCTATTTCTTTTTGATGTTCTAAGTAGGTAGATTATCCAAATAATTAGGGACTTGATTACTGACTCAGCAGCAACTCGATTGGTATAATTTTCAATTGTAATATGGAGTTGTTATATTTACAAAAAACAGGTGCATATATGAGCCCAAAGAAAAAAGGTGATAAGCTCGCTTGTTCGCCTTGGTTAAGACGGTGGTTGCGCACTTGGTTTGCTATCATGCTGCACATAAAATGTTGTTTTTCTTCTATTTTGCTTTTATAATTACATCTTTAAGATCCCGTATTTTTAATGTAATTTTCCGAAACTTGTTGTTTTTACTTATCACTTTGTAAACAAGGCGCAGTCTGGTCATTTACTGGTTCTTCGTTGCTCTTTCAAAGGTTCTTATTTTTTAATAAAACGTTCGCTAATTCATATTAATGTTGTCAGTCGCTGCTGTTTTGACGCTGTTCAAAGTAACTTTTCTTGTCTGAAGTTTGGATTGTTTTATGCTTTGTATGTACTTTCAGTTGCGGACTCCTTTCTGTTTGCTTCTTTGGGCATAATTTTCCTTTCATTTCTTACCCTGCCTTGTGTGGGCTACTTCTTAGTCAACCGTTAATTATTTAGGTAGTCATAGAGGATCAGAAGTTTATATGCAGCTGTTTGATCTCACTTGCATTATACTATTTTTTGGGTGTTTGGCTGTGAGACCACTTGGCCTTAGTTAATCATGCGCTTAGTTTTAGTGTAGTCTAGTCTTATGTAGTTTTGCCTAGCTTGTACTAGCTTAATCTAGTTTAGTCTAGTTTATTTTGGTTTAATTCACTATTATTATTACCATTATTATAGCCATCGTTATTACTATCATTATTTCTGTCATTATTATTACTGTTATTATTACCGTCGTTGTTACTATTATTATTTCTATTATTATTATTACTATTATTATTACCATCGTTATCACTATTATGATTACCATTAACAGTGTTACGGACACTAGTTTTTTAGATCAAGTGATGTCATCTGTAGAAGTCCCCGGTCACTGATGAGTGTGAACTTTCGCGTAGCTGCGTTTCCATTTTGTCTCCAAAATAAATTTGTAACCATGGAGGATTGTTTGTACATTACATGTACCAAACATTGGAGTTCTTCACCGACATATTTTGTAGATGGATTTTTATTCCTTAAGTTTGTATTACAAAACAAGAAAGAGGCAATATGCGTGTATATGGTCATTCCTCATCAGTTTTTGGAGGTTGAAGTAACCGCGACGCAGCGGTTTCACCCATTTCTTCTAGGCTTTTTGCGACTGTCGTGAGGTTGGCGTTTGGCACTTGCTGAAATAAGATTTTGAGTATATGAATTGTTGGGGAATGAGCTGGTTTTCCTGACCTCGTATTGATCGAGCAAAATCATGGTCGGCGAAGAGTTTTCGTCTGCACAAATTCGTATAAATTCGACCATGTTTTGGCATCCGAGCTGTTCAGCAAGTTTTGCCCATTTATCATCTGCGTCTAAGAGTTTTGACAGTCGTAGTCTAGTAAGGTAATCCATTGATGATATGTCGTCTGTAATGTGTAAATTTTATGAAGCTGGAGTTTGTTTAGAATATTTTGTGGGATGAGAAGCGTTTGGTGTCGCTAGCTTGAATTACCTGCACTCATAGTCGGTAGGCGATATGAAAACGCAGAAAAGTGCGGAGCTTGGTCATTGTCTCTGTTGGATGAACTGGACGGTAATTCAGAATTGATCTCCGAGTGTGCTTCTGGAGGCTGAACTCTGTAACCATTTAAAACATTCTGAACTTCTTCGTCCTCGATATCTTTCATTAACTTCCCATCTGAAAATACTTTCTCGTTGCAGTTGGACAAAGTGTTATTGAGGTGTATTTGGTGATTGACCAGTAAAAGTAAAAGTCCCAAGGAGCCTTTCTTAGATGCATCTCGTATCATCCGTGAAGCTTATAAGGCGATAAATTCTCAGTATTAGTGCTGTTTGGGGCTTTTTTTGTAAATTTCACGGAAGTATCGAGTATTTGAATTTTGGACTAAAATACCTTTGTCAGGAACGGATGTATCAGCGCCTGCATCAAGTAATCTTCCAATTAAAAGTAAATTTTTTTTTCTGCAGGCGATCCATAAAGGAGTTTCTTTATTGTTTGAAACAGCATTCACATTACATTGGTTCTGAAATCCTTAAGGTTATTTAATTTGAGGAGAATTTTCTGCTAAATATTATAACTCTGTTGTTTTCTGGCAACATGTAGCAAATTCTTGATATGAACTGCTTTTGACAATGTTAACTTTTGAAATGACCACCTTAATTAGCAGTGTGGCAATATCCGTATCATCTAATTGGACTGCAGAAATAAGTGGAGTCTCGCCATTATTGTCCGGAACATCCACGGGTGCCCCAGCTTCTACGAATGCCTCTAGGAGGCCTAATTTAAGCTTTCGAACGGCAATGTGGGCCGGCGTGTAACCTTCAGTATTTTTGCTGGCCAAAAAATTAATCTCTTCGGCATCGTCATCATTTGGGTTCTTGCCTGATGACTCCTCGGTGACACTGGTTTCAAGTATTTCTTTATAAATTGCTTCATTATAAACTTCGCCTAGATAATGGGTTACCTGGAAGTAATAAACAGTAGTGCAAAATTTTTTTTAAAGTTTCCTTCCACTGGATTCCAAAAAAAACTTTTCACATGTTCATTTCTACTGCTCGTTCACTTATTTAAAAACGCTTAGTTGCGGTTAAAAAAAAAAAAAAGAGCCTTGGATCATAAATTCAAGCAGCAAAAAATAGATATCGATTTTTCTTTGTTGGTACGTCAATTAATGTTTTTTTCAGGCTACTTCGGTGATGTATTTGTGATAGGAAGAAATATTTTTGTTGTAACTTGCCATATTGTTGCCCTTGTCAGTGATTTTCTTCTTCGCTCCAGCACTAACCAAATAGTGCACACAGTCGGCATCACCGGCTCGTACAGCACAGTGTAACGGTGTTTGTCCCCTAACATTTTGTGCATTTATCACCTTTTCCAAGCCAACCGGATCATTTGCTTCCCGTACAGCTGTCAACAAAGTTTTCAGTGCAAAATTTTGCTTATTTCTTGCCGCCACATGTAAAGCACTGAAAAATTACATATTGTAGTCATCGTTAAGAATTGTATATTTGAATACAGGCTTTTTTCTGCTACAGACTATTTCAGGTCATCATATTAAATTAAAAAGTACATGTTATAGGATAAATTTTAAGAGGCAAGATAATTTGCTTTGATTGATAATGTTTAACGATGCTAAACAGTGTTGCTGATACATTTATTATGAACTGGATTTTGGTATAGTAATGTAGTCATAGTAAATTAAAAGAAGTAGGTAGTTTTTTTTGTAGCAGCAAATCGTAAAACAAATGAACTTTAAAGTGGGGTATGAAGGGAAGGCTGTGATGTGAAAGCTTTTTAATTGCTGAACAACAACCACAAAGGATGTTGGAAGATGGTTGATACATTGTAGAAAAGGAGTCTGTGATAGTGTTGTATAAGAGGACGATGATGTGCACACGTGGTAAGGTCGTTCAAGCGCGGCTGATTTGGACGGGCAACGGTTTTGAAGGACCATTGCAGATCCGTTGCGACTGTCAGGGAACTATCACCGAAATCGGCAAGGATGTAGCAAAAGATGATGAAGAAGTCGTTGATTTGGGCAGTAAAGTAAGGGATGCAATGTATTTTGTTAGGTTTTTAAGTATGAAAAACTATTGCTTATTTTAAATGAATTTTTTATTGTTGAAGAAATGTCCGCTAATCTAGTAAGAAAATTTGTATGGTGTATTCTAAAGAAATATATTGATTTCCAACTATTTTTATTTACTACTTGATATTTTAGGTGCTTTTACCGGGATTTATTAATGCACATTCGCATGCATTTCATCGACAGATGCGTGGTCGCAGTCAGATCGGCGCTTCAGAAGAAGAAAGTTTCTGGAAGTGGCGTGAAGATATGTATGCTACTGTCGAAGAAATTGATTTTCAGAAATTATATGATGTATGTAAATAAATAACAAAATTGTCCTTACTTTCTAACTACTTTGTCAGCTGAAAAATTCCAGTCTCGTGAGCAGAAACAAAAGGAACGAGCTTTCAGCTAATTGGCTGTATTAAAAACTCATTTCCTTTAGTGAAATCATCACTGCGTAAGAAACTTGTACAATGATTTCAGTATTCGCTGGCCACTTTTAAAGAAATGATATCCGCAGGCATCACCAGTGTTGGAGAGTTCCATTATGTACATCATGGAGAAAAACGATTTGAACTCGACCAAGCAGTGCTTAAAGCAGCTCATGATGCCGGCATACGTATCATCCTTATAGGTATGTATAGGATCTATAGGTTAATTAATATTTCAATTTACACTTCTCAGCTGCATCTCTTCTTAAATTTGATGAGAGTTATCAATCAAAAACAAACTTCTCTTCTTATCTTTGCAGATACTCTGTACTATAGGGGTGGATTTGACGGAAGGGAATTGGAGACTGCTCAAAAAAAATTTGAGGCCAACTTTGACGAATTTATCAAGAGTTTCGAAGATATTCAGTCATCTTTACTTGAAAACCAATATAGCATCGTTGCAGGTAATGCTACTGCTTCATCAAATTTACCCTAACGCCCAGCAATTTACATGCCCCGATAATCTATTTTTATATCAAACTTTACACATTAGATGTTAAATTTTACTCGTTCTCCTAGAACAAATATATTGTTATATATGGCTTAAAAATTAGAAAAATAAGGGGATATACACAGAAGGAAACATTGTTTC